TATTCAAGCAGCAAATTTGAGTATAAAGACGATTGCATTGAAGATTCGGGAGAAGCAGATATGTCAACACAATTCTTACGAAGTCAGAAAAATCAGCTCATCGATTTGAAACAGCATCTGGAGAGATATGTAAATACTTTGCCTGTTTTTGGATTTAATAGTGGTAGATATGATTTGAATTTAATCAAGTCCTACCTAATCCCCTATTTGATTCGCGATAAAGAACAAGAAACATCCGTCATCATAAAAGCAAATGACTTTATATCTTTCAAAATTGGAGATGTACAATTTCTCGACATAACAAAAATTCTGCGAGGGGCAACTACTCTGGACTCCTTTCTCAAAGCCCATAAGGCTAGCGAAACGAAACAATTTTTTCCCTATGAGTGGTTTCATAACCCAGACAAACTTGATTTTCCCGAATTGCCGCCGTAAGAAGCCTTCTTCAGTAAACTTAGAAACAACGATCCTCTAGACAAAGACTTCATTGATTATGAGAAGCTGAAAAAGAGTGGGCTTGACGAGCAACAAGCACTGGAAAAGCTTGAAATCAAGACTGTTCCTCCATGTGTATTGGATAATTACAATTACTTACAAGAGGCTTGGAAGAAAAACGGAAAGACAGTGTTCAAAGACTTTTTGAAGTCATACAAGAACAAGGATGTAGTTCCAACCCTGGAGGCAATGCAAAAAATGATTCAAATTTATTATAACAAGGGGATAGATATGGTAAAACTTGGATGTACTCTTCCAAATCTAGCAAACATATGTCTGCACAAATCTACAAATTACAAGTTTATCCCTTTTGCGAAAATGATAAAGATTTGTGTGAAAAATTTCGAGAAGATATGACGGTGTAACTTCCATTGTTATCATTCGAAGAGCTGTAGTTGATGGGACATTCATCAGAAACTCATAAAATGTTTTTAAATCAATCGTTGGAATTGATGCAAGCCAGCTTTACCCTTTCTCAATGTGTCAAGAGATGCCAACAGGACTGTACACGAGATGGGAGTTTGACACTGATACGCAAAAATTCAAGACTAGACATAATCGATCTCTCAGTTTTGAAGAATTGTGGAAGTGTGACTGGTGGAAAAATTTCAAAACCAATGACAAGATCAAAAATTAGGTCAGAACTCATTTTCTCTACAAAAAGCGTCTTTCTACAGACTCCTTTCTAGCAAAAATAAAAGATGGATCTCTCTTTGGCTATGTTCAGTGCGATTTAGTTGTTTCAGATGAACTAAAATCAAAATTTGCGAATTTTCCTCCATTTTTTAAAAATACTGAGGTGGGAAGAGATAATATTGAAGATTACATGAAGAATTATGCAATCGAGAACGAAATGTTAAAACATCCTCAGAGAATGCTGATATCTAGTTTCAAGCTAGAAAATGGAACAGTTATAACTCCTCTGTTCAATTTTTGTTTGGAACTCGGCTTGCAATGCACCAAAATTAACCGTTTTGGTCAGCACACTCCACAAAAATGTTTCAAGAATTTCGTTCAATCAGTGGTTGATGCTAGAAGAGAAGGAGATGAAAATTCTTTGTCAGGAGTTGTAGCAGAAACGATGAAGCTTTTAGGCAATTCCTCCTATGGATATCAGATCATGGATAGATCCAGGCATGCAATCACAAAAAATCTGAACGATGAAAAAACCCATAAGGCAATCAATGAACCACTGTTTTAAAGACTCAACACAGTTGAGAAAGATTTATATGAGGTCGAACTGCTGAAATCCACCATTGAACACAGAATTGTTGGATTCTTCATACTTCAGTATGCAAAGCTGAGAATGTTGGAACTTTACTATAACTTCTTTGATAAGTTCTGTGATGTAAACAAATTTGAAGAGTTGGAGATGGATACAGACTCACTTTACTTGGCAAAGCTGAAGAAAACTTATATGATTGTATCCAACCAGAAAAAAGAGACATTTGGGAAAAAATGATGGAAAATGACTGCAGAGACTCTTTCAGAGCAGATGCAAAATCTAATTTCTTCCCACGAACGTGATGCAGTGCGCATAAAAAACATAACAAGCGGGAGCCGGGACTGTTAAAATAAGAATTTAGATTTACAGAAATGTTCATGCAGGAAAACTTATTGCTGCTACGATAACAAGTCAAATAAGTTCAAATTTAGCAGCAAAGGATTAAACAAACGAGTTCTAGAAGATTCGGAGGACGGACCCACGTCAAAGTACACGAGAGTGCTCGATGAAGCAATCAACCTAATATCTACAAATAGAGGATTTAGAACTGTAAACCATATGCTGGCCACATATGAGCAAACAAAGAAAGGACTCAGTTATTTTTGTCCAAAAAGACAAGTTCAAGATGATGGAATTCATACAAAACCATTGAACTTATAAGAACTGATGCAATGTAATCAATTTTTACAGGTGACGCAATGTAAAAGTTTTTTGTACAATGCAGTATTTTGTTTGTGTTTTATTATGAAGTTGCGGTAAATTTCAAATACGAAGCAGTGATTTATATACTTTCTTTAAAAATTAATTTGTGATTTATATACTTTCTTTAAAAATAATTTTTTTCCTCAAAAATGTGAATTTTTCGAAGTTTCAGTAGGTTTCAGCATTGCTTCAAATAGATAGAAAATAAGAATATCTAATATATTAAAATTTAGATAATCTTATAAAACTTTATCGTGTTTTGAAGATTTTTGGAAATTTTTCAATTTTTTCGATAAAACTTTTAAGTTTTTACCAAAAACCTCTTACCATTGACTTACCATGTTCCAAAAAACTAATTAAAAGACCTTCATTACACAATCTACTTGTAATAAACCTTTGATATTTACAAATTAGATAACACGCGCCAAAAATTTTGCGAAAAAACTAGACATTTCCACTCTAAAACCAAAAAAATTACGTTTTTCTTTCTCTTACCGAAACCTTACACTGAAACCACACTGAAACCTTACCATTTGTATTCCCTATCTTAATACATTTTAGACTCTATACCAAATGTTAATACATAGCTGGCTGACCGGATGATCTATTCCCTATTTTAAAACATGGGGGTCACCCACCACCCCCCCTGATCAGCCTCAACCTCTCTTACTAATGGACAAGAGCAAAAAGTTTTGGAGAAAGGCAGCCTTTCAAAGGTTAAATTTCTTCCTTATTTCGAAAAACTTACTGCAAGCCCCAGTACGTCATTTACAATTTCAAGGAAACACAGACAAGGATTTTAAACCAAGTGATTTTGGAGCTACTGAATGCTGTTAATTAACTTTTTTTCAACGGTAAACAATTTCAATTGCATATTAATACCAGAGCGTTTCTAAATTTTTGCAGTAACTAGTCGCACTTACTAAATACCCGGTTTGAAAAATGCTTATCATACAGTTGCATACTATGGAAAAAATGCTTATCATACGATTCCATTCAATTCCATAGAATAAAAAAATCGTATGAAAATCACATTATAACATTTTTTTCCATACAATAGAATTGTATGATAGCAATTTTTTCCATTAAATAGAATTGTATGATAGGTGTTTTTGCCTTAAACCAAAACGTGTTGTTTTTTGTTTCTAATTTTATTTTCTGAAACAATTTGGGTTCTGCTTGCAACCGAACCCAAGTGACAGAGACCTTGGTAACTCAAAGCACCAAAGGTTGGACGGTCTTGCTTTAATAATGCATAGAAAACGACCTGAATTGTCTTCTAGCTGTCTTTCACAAGTGATATAACAAAAGTAACAAACTTTTAATTTTTGGCAAAATTTTTCAATGATGATTATTTTAAATTTTTGAATTTTAAAATTATCAGACGTTGATCAGGGCATACATAAACACGCCATACAAAAGAAATAGGAATTTTTGGCGTTTTTGAAAAAAAATTTAAGTGAAAAAAAAAGCCAATATTGTCGTATCCAGGACTACGTTATGCACACAAAAAATTAAATTTCAAAATAACTTTTTTTGTGTGTGTCGAGGCTAAAACTTTGTTTATCGAAAAAATGATTATCATACCAATTTCATAGAATGGAAATCGTATGATAAGCATTTTTTTTCTATGGAGGTCAACCCGGGTAACCTAATTAAAACTATCAAGAATTTTGAAAACTGTTTTTAAATCCCCTGATACCCTACTAATTGTAGCCTGGTATAAATTATCACCTCGTGCGAATCAAAAAATGCGGTTAGTCGTTTTCGATCAATTGTCGTTTTCACCGTGTTGAATCCTCATGTAAAAATTCTTTCGAGTATCCTTCAAAACTTGATGCAACATTTTTACTTGTTTTCATGAAAGCCTCAATTTTTGACATCATTGTTTGAAAGTTATTTGCTGTAGAAGAAAACAGCGAGGCAAGAGGCTATAATTTGTAGCAAGCAACAATTAGTGAAATGAATATCAGCTTTCAAGATTCTTGATACACTTGATTGTAACATGGCAGATTTGAAAAAGGCAACTAAATTATGCACTAAAACTAGAACGATTATTGAAATATTAAGCAAACTGAAATGAACTAACGTTGTCAAAAAAAAATCAATCAACAATCAGCATCACAAAAAAAACCCTTGGTTTGATTTCACTTTTTTGGTTTCACCACTAGTCACCGCGGGAATCAGCAACTTGCTCTGTTCCCAAAATCTTTGATGGCCGATTCATGAAAGGACGGACAATTCCCATTGATAGATTATGCGGAATATTTTGAATCAACATGGATTGGGGCGATCAACGGTGGCCGTGAGGGGCTGTTCAGTTTCCTCGATAATTGTGAAACAAAATCTCAATTGATTGAGCTGTTTAAAAACTACAAAAACATTACCATTCTAGAGCAGCTTGAGGGATTATCTATTAACTTAGATTTATAGTATTTTTTGTTGCTCTAATTATTTTTCGTTGTTTCTTCTTAGAGTTAAATTGTTTCTGATCAAAGGTTTTTGTCGCTTTCAACGAATTGTCGCCTTGCGTGCTCTAATATCTCCTTGAACTTTTGTGACGAGATCGGTAAGATGATAGTTGCCATCACTTTATTCAATTTTTTTTAAATAAATTTTTGATTTTGTCATTTTTGTATCCTAAGTTGGTTTAATGGAAACATCAAAAATTTGCATACATTTAGAGGTGTTCATTTGGTCCAAACATTCGGGGCTAAAATTACTGCCAATCATGTATCAAGTTTTCAGAATCACTTTTACGAACTATCTGCGTTTTCTTGTTTGCTTTCCGAATCCTCTTCCGTTTCTTCATTTGTCAGAGATGTCGTTTCTTTATTTTTGTCACCTTTCTTCTCTTTGTCAACTGGAACGAGTGTAATTGAGTTGAACTTTCGTGAACTCTCGCCGATTATTCCGATCTTCCTGTTTTCAAGGTCATCAGAATTGAACTCATTTCCTAATTTGAAAGTTTTATCTTCCTTATTTCCGCCTTCTTTGTGTTTTTTGAGGCTTTCTTGGTCCAGTTTTTCGAATAGCCACATTGCTTGTTCTTTGGTCGAGGGAAGAAGAGATCGAAGCACCGGACTTTTCTGACCGACAATTGACATTATGGGAGCCTTTTTGACCAGATCTTTCCGCGCTTTGTTCGCTTCCGCTGTGACTCTAAATTGTGAACTTTGTTTGAAATAAATTATTTTTCCTCTTTGTTTTAAGACTTTTTTATAGCACTTATTTTGCATAGTACAATATATATTTTTTAAAAATGTGTATAAGACACTGTGTAATAGACCAATTAGCCGCGGATGAGGGGCTAAATTGTCTAATAAATACAAGCTTTAATAGATCAAATTGAAAATCAAGGAAAGGGGTGACTTTTTTCTACTATTTTAAAAACAGTTTATCTTTTAATAAGCAAGGCAATACGTTTGCAAACTAACTCTTGATCGTTAGCAGCATCTTAAACTTTTTCTACACATGATACAAATCGTGAAACAAATTTTTAATTATCATCCCGAACGAATCCCTCCCCCCCCCATCCAACCCCCCAAATCAACATCACTGTTCAAACTCACTTGAGCAAAGAAGTCTCCGACATTCTCGCCCGTTCCATAAACGACGCCGTCCCTGCCCCCACCCCTCCTCCCCGGCTATTGGCCCGCTGACCCCCCTTCACCCCCTGATCTGAGGCCCCTCCCGCTCCCCTCCGTGCGTGGGGGTTGAAGTGGTCTGATTTGAGTATGCGTCCTATCTCCCGTTTAATCAGATCAATGTCTGGTCGTTTGAAGCAGATCCACACGATGTAAGTGGAAAACGTGTACCTAAATCAAACTTTATCTCACCAAATTTCTAGCTACACTGTTCCGGCACACTATTTTCTTGAACAATATTTCCTTTTGGTTTGGCGTTTAGTTGAAAAATAGTGTCCCTTTTCTGTTTTTTTTTATGTCAACAAAATTTTACGTAATCATTTTTTTTTAGCTTTTTTAAGACGATACAAAGACCTTTTTTGGCAAAAATTTTCAAGTTACAGGCAAGAGGGTGGATCTAATTTTTTTAAAGCAGTGTGGGGCAGAATTTACAAAAAAATACAACAAAAATTTGTCGCCATTGATTTAAGTCGATCAAAAAAATTTTTCCCAGCAAACAAAATTCTTACAACCAAAAAAACTTTTTTTGATCCTTTTTAAAAATTCTCGGCAGATGAATTGCGATTCAAGGGGGCGCCATTTTTTCAACCAAATTATCTTAGTTCTCCCAAAACACCATTACACCCTATTTTGCCATGGTTTTGAAAAATTCACAGGACATTAACAAAAAAGGTCTTTCAGGTAGTGACCCTCCCTTCATCTGAAGGGCAAACAAAATCCACGCGCAAACAAAATCCGCTCCTGCCCACCGGCGATTTTTTTTCAAAAAAATTGTTGATTTTGAGCCCCCTCAAAATGAGTGTATTTGGGCGGCAGATGACTCACATTTTCTCGAAGAGTGCTCTGTCTTTGTGAAGGGAACTCACTCTGCTCTTTCCACACTCCATATGGTGTAACTCAGGCAGCTCCAATCCTATATAAACACGAAAAAAAATTATCAGAGGACGCTTCAAAAAAGTGGGAAGCATATGAATAAAACCAATAAAACAAGCCAATACGCAACTTCCCTATAAGCAAAACAAAAAAGATATTATTGATGTCTGAATGGCTAAAGAATAACGACGTTAACCACCTTATTGAGCATCCGATCATAGAAATGGCCAAACAAGGTATGTGAACCAATTAAAAGCCGAGAGATCAAAAAAAATTCACCCGACGTAATAAAGGCCTCATTTTTAAGAACAGCACAAAAACTGATTGTTTTTAAGCTAAAAAAAAACGCATTTTAATCTTTTTTCTTGAAACAGAAACTGCGTCGAAATGGAAATGTTTCTGAAACGACCTTCTGTAGTATATATTTTTTTCTTATTAGTCATTTGATTCAAAAAGTATGCACGCTTTATTTGCAACTGATAAGTCGGTTTAATTGTTCAAGGGTTACCGTGGTTAATGGTCCAAAAATTCCAATAAAGAGAATATAGTTTGTTCTTTTTTTTGCATCCCAAACATTTCTTTTGCTCCGCTGCACTAAAGAGAAGTTTAGTGCAGCTATTAATAAAAGTGGCTTTTCAAGAAACTGTAAATTCAATTAAACCCTAGATGCCACAAATCTGACTCCAGAGGCCACAAATCTGACTCAACAAAGACACATGATTAGACTTTTCAGAGATTCAAAGGTTTTTCTTTAAAATAATTTCAGCGTAGCTGCTTATGCAGAAGAGATTCACAGGGTGTGCAATATCGGTTCAATCCAGAAACGCAAACTTCTGAGAATAATTTTTGAGAAAAATCAAATTGTTTCAAAAAACGGTAAAAGAAAACAAAAGTTGACTTTTCCGAGAATCATAGCTTTTTATACTGATGCAATAAAAAAATCAGGCAACCTGTAATTTCAGTTGCACCCAAAAATCAGATTTGAAAGGGTAGTTCACCCAAAAAAAAATTAAAATTTCTGAAAATCTTCATAAAATCAAAACTTTGTCTTTTCCGAAGGGCCATAAGTTGCTGTGTTAAAAAAATAAATTGGGCGTTGTAGCTTTTGCACAGGAGCTTTCTACTACCCGATTTTTGGGTTGAACCCAGAATCTAAAATATGGTAGGTTAGTTTTCGAGAAAATTCAAAAATTGAAAAAAGTCAAAAAGTCTGCAAAAAAAACATTTCCAACACGTCTCAAAAAGTTAAAACAAAAAAACCCAATCCTATTTTTTTCATTATAAACGTTTTTATCAAATTAAAATTCTAGGAAAAGATGCCGAACAAAACATTCAATTTAAATTATTGAAAACTGCGATTAAACAATCACTTCTACGATGTGGCAATTAAGCCGAAAAACATAGGCAGACAATCTATAGCCCGACATTTTAATGGAAAAGAATATTTCAGTTTAAAAAAAACGGATCCCGGGTAGATTTGGACCAACGACCTCTGCCGTCCCAGGCTTATTCTCCACCTCAAAGCTAAGTGAGTGCCGGAAAAGCATAGAAGATTAAATGCGTTATGAACCAAGATACAACTGATTCAAGTAATTCTGTCAAAAAAATTTAAAACCAAAAAGTCTATATTACAGTTTAATAACGCTTACTAATCTCGAGAGTGAAAATAACTGCCTAAAGCTTGAAAGAAAACAGTTTGTTTCAGCAATTTAGAAAAAAAAGAAAAAAATTTGCTACAACAGTTTTAAAAAAAAATTTTTAAATTAAATTTTTTTTCTTCATTTCTATAAGACTGTTTGCGGAGTCCAAGCATCATTTCTTTTTGAACAGAAGAAAATTTATTTTAAGCATAAACCGCGTTTGGAATATAGTTAAATTTTATAAAATTGTGCTCAATTGGATATGATAAACGTAAGTCAAATTTTAGACTTTGCCTTATTCAAGAAGCTTTGTTTTTTCCAAAGCAAAATTTGCGAGATTGCTTATTGATGTCCTTTTAGTATGACGACCAACTTTCCAACCAAAGCACACCACACGTGAGAATTGACAAAATTACAATAAGCCACAGGAGTATTTTTTTTGCAGATCTTTTTTACTTTAATGGGTTGTTACTTTAGCATTTAGAATATAGCCTAGGCTACAAACAAGTAGTTTACTAGTGTTGAGGAACATTGTGTGTGGATGTGTTTCTGCGAATAATTAGGTTCCACAAATAAAAGCCAGACTGGATTGAATGATATGTCACAAGTAAATTTTTTCAAAAGGTTGCAACTGACTTATTTGAAATAAGAACCATCTAAATGTCGAGAAAAAACCAGTTTAAAACGTTTGCTTTTGCCGCGTTACAGCAAAGAATCATGTTAGTCTCCTCGGCGACAAAAATTTGGCTTTCAATTTAAAATATTCATATTTTTCTCTTTCATTAAACTGTTGTTAATTAGCTCTGGATCTTTCTGTTAACCATTGGCACGTGCCAAAACAAAAAAAAATAACTTTGTTGTTCCGACAACTGAAAATGGGGAGGAACTGTGATTTCCAATTTGTTTTAGTGTTTTTTTTTCTGTTTGTTTTCCACACAAAAATCAAGTACCACAAAAAATCATCGAATTTGGCTGAAGTATATCTCATATTAAAAAAATGTTCAGTCGTAATTCGAATCACATTGAAACTTTTTAAAAAAAATTTCCAAGTGTCGAGAAAAAGCGGTTTGAAATTTTTGCTTTTTCGTCTAACTTTGGTCGAGTAAAGCAAGCGAGCAGGTTTATTGTGCTATATTTAAGCCCTTTGCATTAGCTTATATATGCTTAGTACTAATTTCACTGGTGAAGAGTTTATTAACGCTATTTTGGAAATCAAAATTTCAAAAAAGTCTGCAGAAAAATTGAAAAAGTTTGTGGAATTTTTTTGATTCGTTGAGATTTTTTTGTGGTTTTTTAGTCAATTTTCTTCAAAAACTGTTAAAAAATTTGTCTATTTTACAGTTTTTTGTTCAGATACTTTTAATCACATCACCCAGAAATATTGACATCAATTTGAAAAAAAAAATTGTATGTGTTTTTAAAGAGTAGTTGTTTCTTTTGTTTTTTTTTCGAAATGTAATAATGGTTGTTATTTTTTCTGGTAGTTACCCAGCAACTGTCTAACAACAGTGATAAAAGTAGATAAAATTTATCATATAAGGAAAAATCCACAGATTAACCTGAGCATAAGCAGATTCATCTACAACAATTTTGCGAACAATCATCAATACTATACAGATAGAATCGATTCTTTTCCACCAAAAAATAAATGGATTTATGGGCCAAAATAATAGATTTTCTAGTTTATTAACTATGATGTAGATAATCTGTATGAAATATGTATTTAATTTGTGGAGTCATAAATCTGTAGAAGTAGTTCATAATCTAATCTGTATGAAGGAAATCGTATGCTGTTTATTTTTAAAATTGTGCGAAAGCCTTGCATACACTTTCAATTTCTGGTTTTCGCTGGTGAAATATAAGTGTTCTCAAAATTAGCTATAAAAAGCAACAAGACTGCTCGTATCAGGGCGAAGCCCTGAATGTTCCGACTGCCTTTTAAGGTTTACGGAGCAGCAGTAATAACATAAAAAAAATTAAATTAAATGAAAATAAAATGAATTTTTTTTTCTAAAATTTGAAATTTTTTATGAAAATCATCCCCCCACATGCCATACAAAGTATAAGAAGATAGATTTCGTTCCTTGTAACAAGTCAATTATGGCAAATAAGCTTCGTTCAACCAATTTGGAACGATTTGTAAGACGGATTAAATCTCCGCTTACGCGTTAATAGCGCGAATTATATCGCGCGTTAATTGTCCCAAATTGGTCAAAATGGCAATATTTAAACCCTCATAAGTTTAAGAAAAATGATCACAAATGAAATATCTTTTCAAATTTAAGCTCAAGACAACAATACCTTTCGAATGATATAAAAAAATTCAGTCAAAAATGGCTAGTTAGAAAGTCGAAATTTGTCTGAAGAAAAAAAACCCACCCCGAGCACAAATATTCCGTTACTTTCGTATCGAAAGTCGGAACAACAAGTTCAAACCAGTTCTTCTCAACATTCAGAAATTTTTTTTTATTGTTGTTCAAATCCCGATTGAATATGATATACCAATCGTCCTTTTCTGATCTTTATTTGTCGTACCTGATTTTGCGTCTGAAAACGAGGTAACAAAAAACAAAAGACACTAAAACTGACCCGAAGACATCATTCCTTCCTTCCCCCCCCCCCCCCCCCCCCACTTTCAGTTATCGGAACAACAAGCACATCATTACCCAGGCCAAACTGTGCATTTTTTGGAATTCCGCAACAAGGACGCTCTCTTTGATCTTCATTTGTTCTTTCTTTTTCTTTGATTGTTTCCGACAAAATTTTAACATGTTTAAAGACTTGTCTCTGGATTCCAGAGACGTCACACACCAAATTAAGCGCCTATCCAGTGCACAGTTTGACCTCGTAAAGAAGAAGGCTGTAGGAAAATGAATAAATCGAATTGTTCACCTAGAATGAGGATAGAATAGTTGAATCCGAGTGCCTTCTCAGATGTCTGCATGTTCCTGTTGGCCTCCTCCCTCGCCTTCAGCTCCACCGCACTCATTTCGGCCACCATGCCCCTCGGCTGGTTGTCTATCTCCACTATCTTGAAGTACCTGCCACGAACACGTGAGTCATTCACACCGAACAGTATTGTTAATCCGAATGCATTTACTTCGGAAACTATTTTTTTTGAAATTTTGATCGTTTTGACATCGATTTTGCGAGTCTATCCAAAAAAAAATTTCCAAAAAGATTCTATTTTGGCAAAAAAGAAGCGTCGCTTGCGCCTTTTTTGTGAAAACCTATCAAAGTTTCTGACTTGCCGACTTCCATGGAGATATTAAATTTTGGTGTGTTTCTAAAAACTTTATTTGGATTCTAATCAGGGGGGTTTCCGCACCGGAGTTCCATGGATAATAATCGATTATATTGAGTTTTCGTGGTCTGTCTCAACAATATATGATATTAGTCGGTTATAATCGATGAAAAATGGATTATAATGAAACTATTTTTCTTATCAATAAAGTCCGAATAAAATTACAAAATAATCGATTATAATCCATTAAGAACGGATTATAATCCTGATACTTTTTATGCCAAAATAACCCATTATAATCGATTATAATCGATTATGATGGATTTTTTCGAGAGGTTATTTGTGAAGCTTACAACTTTTCTCAAATTGATCTCATTTCCTGTTTAATGCAGTTGCTGCGTAATACGTTTCATAAAACGTTACATTTCACTTTAAAAATTACATTTTTTGCATATAATATATACTGTGGTTTGAACGGTGTTCCCTCCGTTTACTTTAACCCCCTCCCCCTCCCCATGTTCCACTCCCCTCAGTTTAGTTTCCCCCCGTTTACCCTGCCCCCCCTGTTTACTTTACCCCCCATTTACTTTAACTACCCCTCAGTTTACTTTACCCCCCCCCCCTTTACCCCCCGCCCAGCCAGTTAAGCACAAGTGCTATTCGCATCCGTACCCCCCCCCCCCCTCCTATTTATTGGTAGACTTTGGGGGACTGGGTTTATGATTGACACCCCCCTCTCTTTAATTGCGGGGAGTTGAAAATTACATAAGGGGGTGACGTTAGACATGGCATTTAGTAAAAGACATGGATACTTTTTGCAAATTTCCTGCAAAACTTGCAAAAATTCTGCAAAAATAATCGAATTTAGTTCAAAAAATATAATGTATTATAATCGATTGTAATGGATTATAATGGAATTTTTTTGCAAAAATAATCGATTTCAGTGCCACAAATAATGGATTTTAATGGATTATAAAGGGTTAAAATGAATTTTTATTTTTCGAAAAAAAATCGATTTTAATGACCACATAATCAATTACGTGGTCTAAAATTGCCACAATAATGGATTACAATGACAATATTTTAGACAACATTTTTCCATTATAATCGATTATTATCCATGGAACTCCGGTGCGGGTTTTAAATGGGTTTTTTCAGGGTTCCAATTTTATTTGGGTTCAAAAAACTGTATTTGTCGTAAACGAATCCTTCTCCATCGTGAATAAACGATATTTACCCAGCTTATCTTTCTTCAAATTCAGGAGCATACTATGGGCTAAGAAATAATTAGGAACCGATTTCAAGACCTCGTCTCAGGTGCACTTGAAAACTTTCTAGGGATGCTCGGCCAGTCAAGTAAGTTAAGTCGAGGCTCCTCTAAATTGCGCGAAGGACCGAAGGCGCGAAAGTTCTCAACCAATCAGCGCCTTTGAAGCTGTCTAAAATTGACTGCATTTTTTGTTGCTAATTTTTTAATGAGTTTTTGAATACTGAGCTCTGATTGGTTGACAAAGTTTTCAGGCATTGGGTCCTACGCGCATGAAGGATTCCAATAGTTAAGTCAGTAGATGAAAGAGGTGCTTAGAAGAAAGTCATTTAGGCAGACATTGAATTAATCCGACGGCTTACTCACTCATTGAAATAGGTTAGTAGACTCAGAAGGAAGTTGTGAAATGCTTGTGATTGGATAAGATACGAGAACTCTTCGGTCACACTCAATTCTGATTGGATGAGAGCCACTTCCTTCACGTTATCAAGCGTCACTTTCTGATCTGCTTCAATTGTCGTCTCCTTCCTAGAAACCGAGCAGCTGGAAGGTAACATTTTTTTCGAAAAAAATGGATGAGTTGTAGATGATTTGCTTTTGATCAGTTGAAACTATTCAAGTCAGCCTATTCTGTTACTGAAACCTTGTCAATTTTCACTAGCAATGCAGCAAAAGTTGACTTTCAAAATTGATTCAGAGTGATTGAATTCAATTTTGACTAAAATATGACTGAATTCGAAGTTATGGGAGTAGTATTTCGTAAAATTATAATTATAGAGTTTTTAAGTTTATTGGAAAATTTGGGTGACTAACGCGCATCATTTTTATTTGTGCTTTTAAGGTGTAAATGGAGACTGATTCCATTCCGCATCCATTTTCAAGCTTTAATTTTTTTTTATTGTGATTTTAGAACCAGCCTTACCAAAATTGAGAAAAAATCAAATAACTTTGAAAGCAAATAATTTTCGATTCAATTACAATCAATCATAGTTTTTAATTTAGTTGCTGTGCACAAAGAACACATTTTAATCAACTATAACCGATTAAAGTATCTTTTTTGCCTATTTTGTCCTAAAACCTGCATCTGAATTGCTTACATTTTATGCTTTTTCCTAGACGTTGATTTGGTAAAACCGTTCAGGCAGTTTTCAAATCAATTCAAGTTTATAACAATTTTATTTCTTTATTTCTTCCCGATTAGACGTGCTTCATGATAATTACCTTTAGTTTGTATAACCACCAAAAAAATTGGCACATTGTTTTACTTTTATGATCTTTGGAAGAATTGTTTTTCACAGACCGCGGTAATTTTTCAACTAATTTGAAATGATCTTAATTAAACTTTTGAATTCGTCGTATAAACTTTATGTTCAGATGGACTAAGTGTAACAAAACATCTTAAAGATTTTTTAATTGACAAAAAATAAAAACGAATGGAAAATAATTGGAACACACTTTTGGTGAAACAGAATTTTTGCAAATCAAAATATAAAAATCAATTTTCTCTATTTATCTTTCTTTGCGACCGATCATGTTGCGATGTTAGTTGGTTAACTACATGATTAATGTCCCTGAAACTTCACGCCAATTTTTAATTACGTTTGGAAAAACTTTGTTGAAGACACTTTGATGCAGACCACCCCAAATCGAAAAACCTTGTTTCGATGAAGAGAAAAACAGCGGATATCAGTATCAATTATGATAATTGAAATGTAGAAGAGCCAAATAATACAAAATTGTTGAAAATAATAGACCCGATTTTTCCTGCTATTCAAAAAAAAATATTTGCGAGCAGGAATACACAGTAGTTTCTGTTAACATTTTCTGCGCCGGCAGAAAATTCAACAAAGCTGACTTCGTTTTAAAATTTTCGGCGAACTTGATTAAGATGCCAAAAAAGAACAATTTTGTCAACACTTTTTTTTTGGGTTTATTGAAAATCATCTCCACATGCTATGTAAACTCAAAGTGATATACTTTGAATATAACAAGAAAGTAAATAGACCAACTGGCATGCCTCAATACAATTTAGAACGATTTGTAACACGGATTACAATTTCGGTAACAGTTATTAGCACGAAGCATATTAATTGCCCCAAATTGATTATCTGTGAAGCCCCATAACTTGAAAAAAAATAATCAAAGGTGAGATATTTTTTTAAAGTTGAGATCCAGACAACAAAACCATTTGAATGATTTAAAAATTTGTGTCAAAAGTTGCTTGTTTAAATGTCGAAATTTGTCTAGGCAAAACCGAGCACAAATATTCCGTCATTTTCTTCGAAAATAGGAAAAATAACGAACATGAACAAGTGTATTCCAGCTCTAGCTAATATTTGTTCATAGGCAAGACGTGGTTTAGTTGTCTTTGATAAAAAAAGTTGGGGAATCCAAAACAACTAGCTATATTTGCTTTTTGCAAAATTCGCGATAAAACAAATGTGACGAAAAAATTTACATGAAAATTGATTGTAAGCAGAATCCACAGAAACTTTGTAAGAGGTATCCATTTACATTTTGGAACATGTTTGAAGACTTGTCCCTGGATTCCATTCACCTACAGACACCAAATTGTGCGCCTATCCAGTGCACAGTTTGGCCTCGTAGTGAATCTACAATTTATGGCCCGAACCTAAAATTTTTCCGATATACTTTTCTGTTTAACATGCTTTGGCTAATTCAATCAAAGTCAGTACTTCATGTGAAACCTCCTAGGTATTCAAGAAAACATAATTTGTTATAGAACAATTTTTGCATTTTTTATTTAGCTTTGGAGCATTCGTGATCGAAACGTATTGTGCTATTTTGCCACGACCGACTACTTTTGTTGCTAAGATCCAGATTGTAGCCTCAAAGGTTAAAGCAAGTCTATTTTTATTGTAAATTAGTTTTTCATGCCCGAAGACAGACCCTCACAATAAAAATTATTGTCACATTTCTCATTTAATTTTTCTTAAGTGCAATATTTTTATAGTTTGTTACACAAGTGTGAATGGTTTCAAAGTAATACTGATTTTTGTAGTTCGAAAAAAAAATTAAACCCACCAATCGGCCGGTTTATCACGCATTTTTGGTATTCGGAAGTTGTGGAAAGCAAAGTTCAGAATTTTGAAACCAAAGATTGAATGGTGAAAAATCCCAATGTTTTTCTCAGTTTTGATTTAACTCTGACATATGCCTATGGTCTATTGCCCTAGTAGTTCGATGTTGTACGTGCAATTTTAATCACCCGAAAATTAAGTTAGAGGTAGTTATTTATTTGGTGTGCTGCTTACCTGTTAAGTACAAAACTCAACCTGCATAAAATCAAAATATTGAAATACAAACTAAAACATTTAAAAAAAAACAAGTCTAACAAAAATTTAAAAAACGGCGCTTTTTGAGAATTTTTGCGGACTGATTTAATTCAATTATGTCTGCCGGTAATGCAATTTTTCACTAAAAAACAATCGAGCATGCTCAAAATCGGCTTTGTTTCAATTCAATCCTTGAACTTTTATTGTTACTGAGTTAACCTCAAAAGATATGAAATGAAATCTATCATTTTATATACCGCTTGGCTTTGCTCGATTAGAATTTAATTCATGGCGGATCTAAGGTTTTCTCGTGGGAGAAGGCAGGTTTTCAATATTTTTTTGCAAAAGTTTAGTCGGCATTTTTTTCTTAAATTGAAAACGTTCTTTTACCGAGGTCTTTCAAAACGACATATAAACAAACCATTAAACAGAAATTTGCAAATCAAAAAACGGCCCGCGATCAATTTTTAGAACAATTTTTGAAAAAAAAATATAAAGAGCTATCAAACTTCGATAAAACTAACGTAACATTCCGGCAAAAGCTGCTCACATTCAGAAGATTCAATTCAAAATCAAGTTGATCATGTTTCTTTGAGTATTTGAGGCACTAGAAACCCTGTACGTCCTACTTACGAGAATCATAACAAAATCATAATAGAAAAATGGCAAAAGTTCAGTGTTAATCTGGATTTTTCTAACCTGGACATGCTAGGAATGGTGATCGGTGCTCCGGGTATGCGGATGCCCTGTTTCTTCATCATATCTATCAGTTGGTCCCTGCCCGCAAAACCCCCACCCCCTCCCCCTCGGGTAGACTGCTGGTTTCCCCCCTTTGTTCTATTCTTCTCCAGTTGTGACACGGGCACGTACTTCAAACCTGAAGCAGATTTTGATTTATAACTTTTCTAGTTTTCTTAGGGCAGCTTTAAACTTAATTTTCGATTTCTATGTTACTTTTTCAAGTTACTATTGTCAACAGATTTACATAGAGGGAAAAACGCACGAGGAAAAGTTTTGATTCAAAAATTTTCAAAAAGATCTCCCGATCCAATAAAATATTGACAAGAAGGCCATATCTTCAAATCGCTATATCTTGAAGCCTAAATTACATCAAAATTAAGTAACAATTGCATAAAAACAGGCGCGGATCTAGGAATTTCTCGAGGGGGCGGGGCGGATTTTCATAAAATTTTGAAATTTTTCTCGATCTTTTTTAGATAGACCAAAATGACTTTCTGAGCTCTCCTAAATAAGTATAAAGACCCCATTTTAACCAAACTTTGAGCGCCGCAGGCAAATTTTTCAAAAAACAGGCCAAAAAAAGCGTTTTTGTGCAGTTTTTGGAAAATGCCGACTAAAAAGTTGCGTTTTTTTGGCGCGCGTTGCCCCCACAAAAAAAACTAAAATGTATTGGCGCTTTAAAATTTTTTTAGGGTATGTCAGTCAAAAGTGGATATCTCAAAATAGTACAAAGTTGGATCCCTTATCTTTTTATTAGTTTGATGTCCCTTCAGCTTGTTGGCCAACCACTCATTTTGTATTAGGATTTCGTGTATTTAAAGTTATAGAAACTAATTGTACGAATATGTGTATCATCGTCTAATAAAAGCTGTTTGGTGCGATCGGACCTTGAGACTGTGCTGGAATCAGGCTCTTTTCCTTTTCCCCCTCTCTTTTTTTATGAAATTCATTAAATGAAAGTCTATCTCAATTGGCTTTTCAAGTTATAAACTGCATTAAAACGTCTCAGCGTGAACAGGTGAACAATATTTTGCAACATTTCCTTACATGCAACATGCGTGTGAACAATTTTTGAACAGCTTTATTTTGTAAGCTTACGAGGGGGGCAGGAAACTGGAAAAGAACCCGCAACAAGGTGAAAAAAGAATCGTCAAACTAATTGAGGGTGGTGAGATGAAGAAACTAACCGCCGAGATACCGAGGCAGCGGTGATCGCGGACCATTTCTAGACGAGGCGGAAAAAATGCTAAAATTTCGGCCCACAGGTGCACACCACGAAAGGACAAAAAAGGGACACAACTATTGAAGAGCTCGCTGACTAAATCCTTCAGGATTAAATCCCTCTATCTGTGGATCAAATCCCACTGAGTTAATCCCCCAGGACTACCTTCTCCATAGGACTAAAAACCCGCAGGACAAAATCCCCCAGGGTTTCTTTTAATATCCCCCACATTAAGAGAATTTATTTTAAAAAAGTGAGAAATTCGCAACAGTTTTAAGCAGGGGCGGATTTAGGGGGGGGGGCGGGGGGGCGGACACCCCCCCCCCCTCAGGGATTCGACCCCCTGCCGACCCAAAGGGTCCCCCCTTTGATACTTTTTCAGAAATCCATTTTTGGCCGACCGACCCTAAAATTTTTCTAAAGGCGCCTTCGGCGCCAATATATACTAATTTTGAGGGGGAGCGCGCGCCAAAAAAACGCGATTTTTTTGTCAAAATTTTTCAAAAATTGCCCAAAAACGGCTTTTTTGACTGTTTTTTCAAAAATTTGCCTGCGGCGCAGAAAATTTAGCCAAAGTAGGGCCAAAACAGTGCTTTGGGAGAGCTCGAAAAATCAATTTGGTCGACCTAAAAAAAAAAAAAAAAGGTCGTCAAAATTTTGGAAATTTTTTTGAAAATCCGCCCCCCCCTCGAGAAAATCCTAGATCCGCCCCTGGTTTTAAGGATGTCAACAAAACAAATTCGTGGATAAAACTTCGAAAATAATGAACAGTCCATCGTTGGAGGTTCTCTATTTTGAGACGGTGTAATGTAGATAATGCAGGAATTGTATCTGGACAATATTTAACAACCGGGAAATCAACAAAAAAGCTTTAACTTCTGAAAGCCATGAATACACGGAAACATACAACTAAATCCGCGTCTACAGCTCCCTACCCAGGAAGATTACAATTCTTAGAGGAGCCGACAAGGTTCTATTTTATCTATTTTTTCAACATTTACGTTGATTGGATTATGGAACAATGACTAGAAAACGTCAATCGTGGCATCGCGCTTGACGATTTGTCCAAAGCTGACTTGTACTTTGCTCACGACTTTTGCGTAGTTGACGACAATGAAGTTGCAGGTGCCCAGCGGCTCCCGGAAAAAATTGTCAGCAACTCAGAACAAGTTGATCTTCATCTAAATAAAGGGTAAAGGAATTTCTTCTGTGCTCAAGTTACTACCCAAGAGTTCATTAACAACATGGGCCAGGAGAAAGCTGATGTTTTCTGTTTTTTTTTTGACAAGTAGAATCCAGCTGAAAAGCAAAATCAGAAACGGAATAAATTCCCGAGTCGCATAAGCAGCAAGTAGCTTCAAAACGCCCAAAAATCTATCGAGTAAACGCAACATACTGCATAAGTGGAAGATAGAGGTTTACAGAGGTTGCAATATGACCGTGCTTCTCTACAGATGGGAAAGGCATTCGAAAGACGATGTCTAAGACGAAATATGATGACAGGGCACGAGACACCAACGGAAAACATCGCCAGCGCCGTTAACTTTGAACATTGCTGAAGAAAAGGCGTCTTAGAAGGCTGGGACAAAATCTGGAAATGAACGAAAATGAGATCCCAAACGCAGCCCTAGAATTTGACAAAAGAGATTCATGGCGAAGAAAACCAGAAAAAGTCAGACGAATTTGGAGGAAAACAGTCAGGAAAGAACTGCAGAAGAGTGAAAACCACCAAGAATATCAGTTAAGAAATGGGAAGCCGAGTCGTCTGAACTGTCCAAAAAACTCGCGAGCAACAGGAGCCAATAGAGAGCACTTATTCGTAATCTTGAGGTGGAGAGCAAAGACAAATGGCTGCATGGCCTATAATGCAAAACATGAAACTGAAAATGGGCTGAGAGTCTTGATTTCAAAATATTTTACATTTGATTGATACCAAGTGTACCAAAAGAACTTGTTTAATATGGTTTGAAATCAAGAGTAAAAATAAAAAGTATAAGAGTTAAAAGTAAAAATGGATTAAAACCAAAAATGGTTCATAATCAAAAATAACTCCATGCTCAAAATGTTTGTCGATTTATAAACTTTCAGTTTTTGCTCTTACAATCCTTAAATATCAAAATATGAAAAAAAAAGTTTTCCTAAATTTTATGATGTTCCTTGAGCAGTTTTCTTAAAATAACACTAGCGCACTGATAAATAACTATTTTGATAGTATTTTTCAACCTGCAAAATTACTTTTTAATTTGGTTTTCAGATTATAAAATGATTTTTTTCTGTCGAAAAAACTTATGAATTTATTGTAAATCAATTCACTGAAACAAATGGACAACTATAAAAACAAATTTGATTGCTACAACAAGAAACACTTGTCATAGTATCTAAATTTAGTTCAAGTTCCATTTCTAGTTGTGCTACTTAATTCATTTATCTGTCTGGTGCTAACTGGTATTTAACCTTCGGAGTTTGTCTGTCACCTTCGGATGACAGCTATTTTGTTGTCTCCGACTAACTTTCCAAACTACGGTTACTTACTAAAAAGGATTGAAATTAACACCTCGAAACCGTCTTTTCTCATGGCGCAGCCAACAGGCCAAAGTGGGGGGAAAACCCGCTGGGGATTACATCGTTTTGGCCCTCGACGTTTGCAGATCCACCAATGCTATGGGAGTTTTGGTTCAATCGTTTTCAATGGGGGATGGTGGCCAAATATAGTATAAACCCAAAGAATTTCTATTATGCCAGTACGTTAACTGCAGCGCAGGTTACAGATTTACCAGTGGAGGTAGACGGAAAAGATCGCCTGGCGTCGGAGCAAACACTTATCTCGAACTTGTATTTGTGTCTGGGGGAGAAAGGACAGGATGAGCTACATAAGAGGAAACCACACCTGGATTTATCTACAACAAGGTACTCTAGAGTATTTGATACTATTGAAACAGAATTTAAGAAGGAACGGAACGAAACTTACGAGACATTCCAACTTTTGGCACGGAAGCAACAAATAGGAGAATCATTGGAACAGTTCCACTCAGTGTTGAGTGGGCTGGCCGCTCGATGTAATTTTGGAGCATTGGAGACCAGGATTTTGCGGGATGTGTTCATTGTAAACATGAACAATAGGGAGGCGCAAAACGAGTTATGTCGCTCGACGAAGACACCAGAGGAGGTGTACCGTATTGCACTTTCATATGAACGTGGATACAAATATGCTAAGTCATACGGATCGATAACCGGGGGAGCAACAACTAGTGGCACCACCGGTGGAACTGGAGCGTTCCAAATCAAGACGGAACCGGTGGGAGCCATCCGAGGAGGATACAGAAACAATAGACAGCGGGGCCGTGGATCGTTTAGAGGGCGAGCAGAAATGAGAAGCGGTGGTTCTAGATGATGCTATAATTGTGACCAACCCAATTTTACCCCGGAAAACCTCACAACTTGTCCAGCCAAAAATGCAACGTGTAACTTCTGCCGAAAAACGGGACACTACGAGAGGACTTGTAGGGGAAAGCAAAATAATCGGGGAAGACGGCAGTGGGACTAATCCAAAATCAGGAAGATATGGAAGCTAGTGAAATAGGCGATGCGGAGGATACTTACTCGCAGCATGAGAATTCCATTGGCTGGGTTAATACACCGATAAAGAAGCAACGATCGTGGGATTCGGATAGCTCAGGAGATTATGTTGTCATGGCTATCAAATCTCGAAGAGAAACAGAAATAAAAGTGGCCGGCGCCCGACTACCAATTAAGGTAAATGGAAAGCAAACAAACGTGTGGATAGATAGTGGATCACCGATTTCAATATTCACCATTGGGGAATTGAAACGGACATTGGGCACCGCAGGCGTAAATGTATAACACCAGCACCGGAGGACGATGAGTTCAGGGATTACGGAAACAACCCCTTACGA